TTCTATATCAGCAGTATCACCCCAGGAATGAGACGGTAAAGCTCCATTGGACTCCCACCACAACTAGAACATCCTTCCCCGGATTACGAGACCAAAATAGCACACAAGGCTTGCTATGGTTTTGTAACCATTAGTCTCTTTTCAGTACCTTGCCTCATATATGAGATTTAATAGCGGCCATGAGAATCTAGATAGTCAACCTGGACTCTTCCCAGACTGAGGCCAGCACACAACGTCCGTTACTTTTGGTGGTCATAACAAGGAAGAGAGGCCCTGGCTGATTGCCACCACTCTCTAATCTTTCCCGAGCGTGAGTTTAAGGCCAACTTTCAGAAAATACCCTCAAAAAATAAAATTATTCATCCACCAAAGAATCCATCCTGTAGATTGACCTGTGTGTTTTCTAAATCAGGGCTTCCCAAAAGGGAGTGATCAGGACTGCAAGCAGGGACACTATTTGACATCTTGGCGTCGCCAGTTCATTGGCACCAAAGGCCAATCCTGCTTTTATTGGTCTTCTCTTCCTAGCCCACTGTTTACTAAAGGCTCCTGACAATGTTCAGGCCTCAAAATGGGCTCACAGTAGGAAAAAGCTGTGGGAAGCACTCGACTAAATCCTAAACTTGCTGCCTGAGGAAGTTTTAATTGCATGGGTTGCTGTGCTGCAGCTTATATGTTATGACAGAAAGGGAATCCTGATGAAGGGTCTAGCCCCGAAACGTCTGTCTCTTGCTCCTCTGATGCTGCCTGACCTGATGTGTTCCTCCAGCTCCAAACTGTATCAACTGTATGTTTCAAGATTTTTGGTTGTCAAGAATTCGCTTTTCAATGTTCTCTCGTTTTTAAAAAAAAGGAAGAGGCAGCAAATGCCTCTCTCCCGCGCAATGAACGACTAAAATGGGTCCGATCTTGACATATTGCCATTGAAAAGAATATTGCTGCAAAACTGCTTTACTTTATCCCTACTAAGTCGTTCTCTTTTATTCCACTGCACAACAAGTTTTCCGCACGGTTTATCACAGGACAATGTGGAGGCGGGATTGTCAGTTTTCCCTCGCACGGTCGATGATTTTAACTGCAACCAGGTGTTGGTCAGGTCACTGATATCATTGATAAAGAGCTTGTTGGAACAGTTCAACAATGCAGAAGTGGAGGAGTAGTGAAGCCAGGATCAAGGAGCGTTAGTTAATGCAGAGCAACTCTTTTATGTCACTTTAGAATTGAGCACATTAGAAGAATACTGTGTCCAGTTCTGGTCGCCCTGTTGCAGGATGGGTATTATTAAGATGGAGAGGGTTCAGAAGAGATTTACCAGGATTTTGCCAGGTTGGAATGATTGAGCTATAAACAAAGGCTGGATAGGCTGAGGCTTCTTTCACTGGAGTGTAGGAGGTTATCGAAGTTAATAAAATAAGGAGGGATATAGTTAGGGTTAATGGCAGTTGTCTTTTCCCTAGGATGGGGGATTTCAAACTAGGGGTCATATTTTTAAGGTGAGAGGAGAGAGATTTAAAAAAGACATGTGGGACAATTAGTTTTTACTCAGAGGGTGTTCGTGTGTGGAATGAACTTCCCGAGGAAGTGGTGGATGTGGGTACAATTACAATGCTTAAAAGACATTCGGATAAGTACATGAATGGGAAAGGTTTGGAGGGATATGGGCCAGGAGCAGGTGGGTGCTACTAGTTTAGTTTGAGATTATGTTCAGCATGGACTGGTTGGACCGAAGAGTCTGTTTCCATGCTGTATGGCTCTATGATTCTAAAAACAAAGAAGTTTCAGTATCCATTGATTCTTGGCTTCCCCCTTAAATTTCCCCCTTATATTGCCTAACAGCTCTGTTCAGTCAGATTTCGAGGTTAAAACTAAGTAGGTTGGACAATTCTGTCTCGTACAGTTAAAATAGCATCATCCCACAGACATCTAGACTTTATAGCTGTTTGGCCTCCTCATGTTTTCAGGATAAGGCAGATTTACAAAAGTTTTAACTACCCATCATGCCTATTCCCCTGAGTTGATTAAAATCGGAGCCAGCTGTGAAGAATAATCTATTGAATAACTCAGGTGAAATCTGTGGTGCCTGACTTATTCGAACCAGTAAAGTCCAAATTCATTTCCAAGTCTGCGCTGACTTAACTAAGTCACAAAAACAGTGAAGCAGAAGTAAGAAAAACCCCAAGAAGTGGACCCACCATCTCTGCTCAACTCGAAGGGTTAAAGACAAGATCAAACTTAAGACCGTAAGAAATAGGAACAGGAATAGGAATTTGGCCACTCCAGCCTGCTCTGCTATTCAGTAGGATCATGGCTGATCCAACATTCCTCACATCCACTTTCCGGCCCTTTCCCCATAACCCTTATGAAATAACTGGACAGAGGCTGGTATCCTGTCACCAATTTTCCCTTTATTTAAATGTCCACAGTACACTGGTTGCGACCAGCCAGCTTGGAGTCAGTCCTTGAAGGGAGGAGATTCTGAATCCCATGTTTATTTCTGTCAGCCAGGGGTCCTTGATTGGCCTATGTTAACAGCCCCAATCCAGGATCTCAAAGTCAATAAGATCCACCTGGTCCCAATCACTACACCTTGATTCCCCGACCAATCAAGAATCTATCTCAACCTTAAACACAAGGGCTCTGCTCCCATGGCTCTCTATGGCAAGGAGTTCCAAAGACTCGTAACCCTTTGAGAGGAGAAATTTCTCCTCATCTTAGTCTTAAATTTATTTTGAAATGATGTCCCCTGGTCCTAGATTCTCCCATGAGGGGGAATATCCTCTCAGCATTTACTCTGTGAAGCCCTTTAAGAATCTTATACATATCAGTGAGATCACCTCTCATTCCCTTAAACACCAAAGTGTAGATTCCCAATTTGATTAGCCTTTGCTCACAAGACAATCCATCCATACCTGGCATCGTAGTGAACTTGAAGAAAAACATATAATTGTGCAAAGATGGGTGGCACATCAGAATATTGAACCAAATATAAAAAGCAGCAAAGAATGACTTTTAATAAAGGAAAAAAGAGTTTGAGAGAAAGCAAGTCATGAACATGAAAGCAGACAGCCAGAGTTTCTATAACTGATGACACAAAGGTAGCAGGAAAGTAAGTTGTGAAGAGGACAAAAGGAGACTGTAGAAAGATATGAATAGGTTAAACGAGTGGACAAAGATTTGGCAAGCCTGTTATAATGTGGAAAAATGCCAAATTATCCAGTTTGGGATGCAGAATAAAAGAGTACGTGTTACCTAAATGGAGAGAGATTTCAGAGGTCTGAGATGCAGAGGGGCCTGCGGATCCTCAAATGTGAATTACAAAGGTTCAGCATGTAGTGCAGCAAATAATTAGGAAAGTTAATAAAATGTTGTTGTTTACTGTGAGGGAAATTGAATATACAAGTAGGGAGGTTATGCTTCGTTTATATAAGGCGCTGGCTAGATTACATTTGGAGCTTTGTGTTCAGTATTAGTCACCTTATTTAAGGAAGAACGTAAATATATTGGAAGCAATCCAGAGCAGGTTTACCAGATTAACACCTGAAATGGGCAGGCTGTCTGATTCAGAAAGGTTCAGCAGACTCAGTTTGTATCCGCTCAAGTATAGAAGAGTAGAAGGTGACTTGACTGAGGGATCCTGACAGATCGCTGGTGATGGAGAAGTTTCCTCTTTTGGGAGAATCAAGAACTAGGGTCACTGTTTAAAAAGCTTGGCTTGCGCCCTTAAGACAGATGAGCTGAAAAAAAACATTCTCCCAGGGTTTGTGAGTCTTTAGAGCTGTCTTCCTGAGAAGCAGGGTCCTTGAACATTTTTCATAGAATCCCTACAGCGTGGAAACAGGCCATTCAGCCAATTGAGTCCACACTGGCCCTCTGAAGAACATTCCACTCAGACCTACCACCTACCCTATACCTCTAACCCAGCTTTTCCCATGGCTAATCCACTTAGCCTTCACAGCCCTGGACACTTTGGGGCAATTTAGCACGGCCAGTCCATCTAATTTGCACATCTTTGGGCTGTGGGAGGAAACCGGAGCACCCGGAGGAAACCTACGCAGACACAGGGGGAGAATGTGCAAACTCCACACAGACAGTCGCCCGAGGGTGGAATCGAGCCCAGGTCCCTGGCGCTGTGAGGCAGCAGTGCTAACCACTTTTTCTTAAGACAGAGGTTGATAAATTCTTGTTAAGGTAGGGGATGACAGGAATATGAGTTTGATCAGATCAGCCATGATCGTAATGAGGGGGCAAGTTTGAAGGGCCAAATGGCCGAATCTTACTCATTGTTCATATATTCGAGTGTAAGCTCAGCCCATGCAGCTATTTTAATGTTATAGTTAGACTTAGCAACCAGTTGGGTACGGAGGGGAAAATCATGCCTGTATCCCACACATCACTGTGTTGGTGGGTGTGGACCCCCTCAGAGTCAAAAAGTCTCTTGCATACATTGTGTAAGCTCAGCTTTGAAGACTGACATTTGAACACTGATAGAAATTACCTGGAATCCAAGGAACAAACATAGGGAGAATGTGAGATAACAAGGTGTAGAGCTGGATGAACACAGCAGGCCAAGCAGCATCAGAGGAGCAGGAAAGCTGATGTTTCGGTTCTGCACCCTTCTTCAGAAACATAGGGAGAAAATTGGCCAGAAAAATACATTTTGGTGTCTCAATTTCATTCTGCACACAGCTCCATAAAACAGAAACTAATCATTGGTCTATCCAATCCAGTGACTGAAATGCACCACAAATCCTTAGTAGAAGTCACTTTATATTGGAGTGTGCTTTGTATAGGAGAAAGAGGGTTCTGTTGTAAGTGTACTTACACTTCAAGGACTGCTCACCATCACCTCCTCTGTGACAGTTGGGAATGGTCCATAAATTATGGTCAATGCCCACATCTCATGTATGAATTTTTAAAAAATAACGAACAAAGTTCCTACCCCACCATAAAATGTTTGTCCTGGAGAATTTGCAGCATTACACTTTTCCTCTTGTTCGCAGTTGCAGAGTGATCTCGATCAAGAATACCAGGACAAGTTTAAGAGGCTGCCACTGGAAATCCAAGAATTTGTACAGGACACACTGAAAGGGAAGTTCACTGACGATGGAGATCACAGTGCTCCACCTCCCTCCCTCATTCCAGATAACGGGAAATTGAATCACAAAACATGTTCCAACGAAGACGACTTAGAAGATGATAAATCGGATAAAGTCTTCGATACTTCGCTTTGATGTGGTCTTTTTAAACTGTGTAAACTCATGACTTTTTTGTTTGCAGGTGGAGGAGGCAGTGAGGTATGTGAGCAGGTGAATAACTGCTTGAATACCAGTCTGTGCTCTGGAAGACTTATTCAAGCATACAGTGCAGTGTCAGGGTCATGTGTGTGTGTGTGTGTACATTCTGTTCAAGTGCCAGTGCAAAACTAATTGTACAATGCCGCACGTTACATTTTTAAAAAAGAAAATCAGAGGCACTTAAGACCTATAATGCATAATTGGCCAACCTTGACAACCCACATATCCGTAACATTGCATGTTTGCATCATGTTGTAAGAAACCTTTGCTTCAGTCACAAGCACAGGTTTCCCATTGTCTTTGCTTTATACATAAGTACACTTGCCAAACGAATTGTACATTGCTAGTTACTTTTAATGTCAGCATTGCTGAGTTAAGAATGTTGCTTATTATAATGGGAGTTTCGGTTGTGCGATTCTAAAACTTTCTGTATAGCTTTGTCCAGTATATTTAAAGGGAAATATGTTTCAGGGATGCATGCATGATGGAAGTATTATGGTTATCACTGTGGATACCTTAAAATGTGACTGTTAGGAGACAGTTTTGTTGTGGAGTTTGTGCTGTGATGTACTTCAACGTAGCTTTACAGGGTAAAATAGAAAAATGTCTTTGACTTGTGTGTACAAAGTAGAGTTACATTGATATCACAGATTTTCTAAACCGGGATTGTCATTACAAGTTAATGTGGGTGACGTAATGGAAAGTCCTTATATCTGACTGCACAATCAAAATATTGTAACTTGCTTACATCTGAATCATTTGTAAAATTTGTTTTGTACAATACCAGTGGTTGTAAATATCCTGAAATGAAGGGGAGAAAAAAAAAGATGCAGGCAAGTCATTGTATTAATGTGTTTGAATGCACTTTCTGAATGAAATTTTAATTTCAAAATTAAACACTGAATAATGCGATAAAGCTGACGATTAGTCATCACTGGTAACTCTGCAGGATAGTCACTGAAACATTTTGTGCAACCTGAATTCTTTGGTCTTTTGCACGATTCACTCTCTGCAAAACATGAAACACACAACTAATACAGGTTTTGCAGCCGTTAAATGGACAGGAACAGTAGTTTCAGATTTAAGGGACTATATTATTGTAAAAATATTTCAATGTCATTTTGGCTGCTCAAACTATGAAATACATGGATCTGTATTTCTGCTACATTCGGTATGTGTAATTATTCTGAGTGAAAACATTTCATTGCCATCATTTGGTGCAGTATTTGTCTAATAATGGTGTTTCAGTAAAACGTTCTCTTTATTTTTATACGATTTAACGTGTTACTGTAATGAAATCCCTATCACCAAGAGTCTGGCTTTTTAAATGCTCAGCATTAATGATGAGGTGTCTTTTTCTAAACTTCATTTTAACAGTGACAGATTATCCCAAAAACAGAAAATCATGGTTTTATTCTGTCTTGATCACCCCCTATAGTCTTCAATGGTTATAACGGAAGTATGTGTGTCTATATATGTATATATCTATATACACATATATATATGTACACATATATATGAAACATACACATACATACACACACTATATTTGTTGTTTAATGTTACTTGGATTAGATTAGTTGAATCTAACAGACGGGGTCTATATGATGTGAGAGTCTTGTGCCTTTAAAGTATTTGCCTTGTTCTGTATCTAAGTGGAATATTCAAAGTACTTACTGTGGAAATCTGTATTTATGGGCTGTTCTGTACTGAACTAGACTTTATGTGCACTTCATTTAACAACTGCAAACACTACAGCTTGTGTTCAGCATTAAATGCGGGTCATTCTTGGATTAGGACGTTTAACAGTATTTCACAAACTTCAGCTTTGGGCCAGACAAATAATGAAATCTGTGGTAATAGTGAGTGAAGCATAATTCTGTTTATCTCACTGATCATATGAAGTGGATGGTCTGTGCACTAATATTGCTCAAATGTTTTGACATAAAGTTAACTGTAGAATAACAAAATAAACAAAGAGAGCACTTCACGTGATAAGGGTGTAAATAATATTGTCTTTAACAATGATAATTTGTTCCGAGAAGCTTATTCAAATTTTGTATGAATTCTATGCAATTTTCTGGCATGATGTTTCTTCCACTAATAATTTTATGTGCATTCGTCAGTTATAATGGAAAAATAAAACTTCTTCGAACATGGGTTTCTCTGTGTCACCATTGCCACCATATCTCCTCTCTGTATTTTTTTTCTTAAAACATTGCCATTTGTTTTGAGAAATTGGATTAAGAAGGATATTAATGAATAGCATGTGTACAACACTGTGAATTGTGGGAGATCACGTACAACTATTTCACAAAGTGTGGCATTCAGAAATTGAGGCCTTTGGTACGCTGGCAGAACTGTGCCAGATTTAACAGCTTAGTTACTTCCATATCACAGACTTCTTTGCAACTTTTTTTTATTCTCTCACAGGATGTGGGCGTCTCTGGCTAGCCAGCATTTTTTGCCAATCTCTAATTACCCAGAGGGCAGTTTAAGAGTCAATCACAATGCTGTGGGTCTGGAGTCACATGTAGGTCAGCCCAAGTAAGGATTACAGTTTCCTTCCCTAAAGGATTATTGAGCCAGATGGGATTTTCGCGACAATCGACAATGTTTTCATGGTTATCATTAGACTCTTAATTCCAGATTCTTTATTGAATTCAAATTGCACCATGTACCATGGCGGGAGTTGAACCCGGATCCCCAGAATATTAGCTGAGTTTCTGGATTAATAGTCGAGCGATAATACCATTAGGATATTGCCTCCCCAATGTTTTGCAATGAATTTACAAATTAAGAACAAACTAAAGACACTGACCATCCAGCACTTCAGAATCCAACGGAATACTTCAAAAGTAGTGAGTTACATATTTCCAGTCAGGAGTTCAATACGTAATAAACATGTCACCAGGGTTTTGATTTGATTTGATTTATTGCAGTCACATGTACCTGAGTACAGTGAAAAGCTTTGTTTTGTGAACAGTACAAGCAGATCATAGCGAACAAGGACGAACAGATCACAGACTGCTCAGACAGAGACAGACTTAGAATTTAGATTTAAAAATGCAGAACGATTATAAGAAATATGAGAATAAGATCTGCTGTAGTCAGCTCGCAAAGAGTTGCCTGGTGTTGGTGCCACGTGTAATCAGGATAAGGCATCTAGCACTGCTGAAGGGATTTTATATGTCTGCAGTGGTCGTTGAAATAGGAGAAGGTGGATAAAAGTTTTATCAGTCATTACCAATTATAGCACTGAAGTCTTCCAATCTATTATCAAAGTTGCCAATGGAACAAAGTCAAAGAAAGATAAAAGGGACTCAGAGATAGCAAGAACTGCCGATGCTGGAGGCAGAGATAACACAGTGTGGAGCTGGAGGAACACAGCAGGCCAGGCAGCATCAGAGGAGCAGGAAAGTTGACGTTTCGGGTCAGGACCCTTCTTCAGATTTTCTATATAAACAGAGCTCAATAAATTCTTTCAAAACGTGTAGCTATCCTTGTAAATCCCAGGGTTTCAAACAGTTCTTTCTCATTTTCTCGGGAAAGAATTTTAAGAATTGTACTTCTCTTGGTGATCCAGATCTGCGTTGTGACTCTGGAGGACCTCTTCAGCTGCTAGGATGAGGTAGTTGTG